CATATAGGCTCACATCCCAACTGTAAGTCATCAATTTGTCCCCTTTATATGACTAATCAGTTTTGGTTGTCTGTATTGCACACCGTTATGCATTTTTCCAAGTTCAGCACATTGGGCCATTACTCCTATAATAGGTAGTCGCGCTCCTCAAAAACGTGTTTTTTTTGTTGGTCTTGAATTATAAATCATCCCGTTGAGTTTAAATACTTTTATACTATATTTCCATTGTTTCAGTAAGACTGGCTGCTATGGTTTTCATTTTCTTTTTTTCACTACTAGCACCAGGTATCTAAGGTGACCCATTCAGATATGCAGATGCTGAGCTCTTTTTATTCCTTAAGCAAATTTTTTCTGTAATTCTGAGAAATCAGGTAGCCAGTGCTCCCTTTAAAATGTCAGCTGGCGCCTAACTTTTAAAGATTTTCTCTAGTTCTTAAGAGAGAACTATGGGGTAAGTGTTTTTCCCCATAGTTCTCTTAAGTGTCATGGGAGGACATATACTAACCTTCTCCTGTGACCCAAAGCTCAGTATATTGCGAGCTACAGCTACAATGCTGTTGAGATCCACCCAGCTGCGTGAGTGACAGCTGCCTCTGCCTATCTAGAGGCAGAGCCAGCTGTGCCTGCCCCCTCCCCCGTCCGTTCCTCCAGTCAGAGCTGGAGGATACTTGCGGGGCTCGGTGACCGACAGTCACCACTCTCTGCAGGGAGATTGAGAAGTGACCAAGCGACGGTATGCGTTCGCTCACTTCCCGATCTATTGAGCCGACGTATGACAGTTTCATTGCTCGAACTATGAGGATTAGTGATTTTTGCTCACCTCATAGTTCTCCATTTAATAAAGCTGGCTGGTAAAAAAAAAAATCCTGCTGTCTCCTGGATTCGACAGAGGGGCTCCTGAATTCCATAATTTATCCAGCCCTGCATTAAATAGACCGAATGTGGAAATTGCTCCACGGAGGAGTCAAAAGTGCAGTATGTTTTAATGTCACTATTGCTCTCTTCCCTCTAAGAAAACCTGAATTACATTTAGGGTATGCCGTGACGGTTTTGACTGTTCCGTGGCACAATCTGCACTAGGCGTGTTCTGATAACCGAAACACTGCAAGGATCATTGTGTCCATCCAAGAAAGAGACGTCCTGTGTGTATGGGTGTGTGTGGATTTACACAGAGTAAGATCATATGCAGCTCATCCTGGCTGCGTGTGCCTGAGCCCGTGCAGTGTGTGATGCTATCCTCCTACACACGTGCATTCCCATGTCTCCCAGTAACATGACAGCAGCCCAGCTGTTCATCCGCATGGTCTCGGCTTGCTAATCACCAGGGAAGCCAGAATATAATTGTAAAGGATATAAGCTGGTATTCCATGAGTCAAGCTGCACTAAAAGGAAAAAAAAACCATAGTGCCGTAACATTTACTAAGTCACACGTAGAATAACCGTTCAAAGGATCGGTCCGAGCCAAACTGATATTTCATTTATTATTCGAATTCTCAGAAACTGTATAAATATAGGTTTGTGTCCAATTATTAAGAAACAGTTGCACAGCAAAGAACAAAATAGACACTTCTTGCTAATTTTATTGAAATAGTGTTATGATTGTGATTGTCTGAGCGACGTCTGGTGACATATTATAATTACATGATCAGCGTGACATAGGTGCTTCATCACGCTATAACGTTTGATGGCACATGTTAACTTCATTATACTTTATGAATAAAAGGGTAGATGTCTAGGAATGAACACATGAAAAATATGTAAAAAAATTAATAAGGGCAAGCAAGAAATGATTGGTACAAAAACAGTGACCAGCTCTTGTGGTCACTAGTAACAACCCACCCCCTTACATTTCTCACTACCCCCCTGGCTTACATGTCTCACTATTTACTCCCTACTCCGAGTGCCCCACTTCTTTGGGGATCCAAGTGCTCTGTAAAGAATGCAGACTTCCCTGCGGGCACATGGAGTTGTTAAATTATTAAAGTGTCAGTATGTCAGGAGGTTGCAGAGCGAGCAGGTGCTCTTGAACTCATGGGATATTTCCCGATTTATAACTACTGCCTTATTTTCAAACTTTGCACTCTGTATGTAATAATGGTAACCAAGTGTATCCCTGCACTCCTTACAGAGAGTAGGACCCAAGGTAACTCTAGTAACAGTGGTGCTCACAGTGATGATTACAGATGGCGCCGTGCAGATTCAAACTGATAAGAATGAAGATCACCAGCACTCAAAGGATAATCTTACATCCTCGTGTTCATTCATTGAAAAAAATGCGTCATATGCATCAAAAAGCCACTATGTTGCCCTGCGTGGCCCCAAAACGTTGGCTTTTTGATGCACGTGTTGCATTTCTACAGTGATGGAACACAAGGATTTAAGATTATCCTTTGAGTGCTGGTGAGCAATTGGTGCAGATTTAAGATGATGGATATAGGCTGAAAGGATCCTGTGTAATCATGTCTATAGTTTTATTCATCTGGGAGGACTATTATTGATGCATAATATGTATGGTTGGTTTTTATCTGAATTTAGCAATATGGACTTGGGTCATTGAAGTGTAACTGTCTGGAGGATGTTAGGCTAGTGCTTTTGCCATGCAGGAGTTAAGTTAATTTGCACTATGGACATGATCACTGTGAAGTTTACATAGTCTCCATGCATTTCTTTATTTGTATTTTATTCCTTAAACCCAAACATTATTGTTACAGTCTAAATGGGGTCCAAACATTGTTTTAGGGTCCTCAGGACCTGGACTGATATAAATGATTGTATGTATTCTTTACAGCGCTGTGCAATATGTAGGTGCTATGTAAATACAGGGACAAATATGTAATTGATGCATATTTTAATGTAGGCAGTGTATGTCTACCTTGAATACTACAGTACTTACTACCTTTTTTGAATTTTATGGCCATCCTACTTTTGACCTGATCCTTCATATAATGTCTTCCACCCATTAAGAAGTTCTATAAAAACCTATTATCACTGTTAATATCAGCAGGCATGGAGTTAAGAAGCTTTACTGGGAAAGTATACAAGTACTGCACATTTCAAAGCAGTACTAAAGCTCATCAGCTCCTCCGTTTTGTTAGCGTGGGAGTATCTGCTGCAAGCAGAAGAGGATGGAAATAAAAATAGACATGTCTTCCATTTTAAGGTCTTCATCTGAATTTTGTACAGTTGAGTTGCCAGCATAGTTGCTGCAGAGCTCAAGCATATAACATTTACAGCTTATCTAGGCTGCATTGCACAGATGTATGCCTGCTACCCATAGGATTTGTTCTACCTACTAGATACTCTCTCTTTACAGTTCACTTGTGATGTTTTTGCTAATATGCATGAGCACAGCTGTTTTAACCCCTTCTTGGCAGAAGCTGAAAAAAAGCCTATTACAAAACAAAAAACAAGGCTGACCATAAGCAGTATGATTTTATGGAGATCACTTGCAATTACCTGGCAATGTAGAAAATGATGGTGAGCAATATGTAAAACTCTGAGAGCTGAAAATGCTTGCAAGCATTTTAAGACATTTTATAAAGTATCTGCATTCATTGAAGAATTTTGGGGGGGCAAAATGTATTAACCACATGAAGTCCGTGTTGTTAAACCCCCTTCCTGGCCAGGCCATTTTTCAGTATTCAGCGCTGCGGTACTTTGACTGACATTTATTCCGTCATGCAACGCTGTACTGAAATGAATTTTTTACCATTTTTGTCATTCTGTTGTCATTTTAAACCAATATTATAATAAAGTCCCACAGCCAAAGTTTTAGCCAGTATCAGTATGCTGATACATAGATATATTAGACATCTTTATTCTATGGACAGCCAAATAGTAATGTGCAGAGGTCTGTAATCCATAGCACAGGGCCACAACTCTTATCGCAGGGCTGTAACTCATTGCGCAGGACCATAACTCAAAGCACTGTTTGATAACTAATAGCACATGTGGATAACTCCTAGCACAACGCCACAACTGATACCATAGGTCCACCACTTATAATAGATGGCCATAACCCATAATGCAATGCCCCAACTTATAGTACAGGGCTATATCTCATTGGTTCATTGCATAGGTTCATAACCCATAGCATTGGCTCATACATTATAGCATAATGCCGTAATCCATAGCGCATAACTCCTAATACAGAACCATATGTCATAACACTGGGTCACAACTCAACTGCAGCAAATGAAGAATCATGTTTTATAGTTCTGACTGCTTTAATTTGAACAAACGGGAAATCTGATCGGGACTATAACATGCTAAAGTTTTCCCATTTCTTTTTTTGGATTGCATTTTAACTAAGTCTAATGGCATATCTTCTTTTTTTTTTTTTTTTTTTTTTTTTT